AATCCTCCAGGCTCTCTGCTAGCCGGCCGTTTTTCGAATTCCTCAAGAATCGTTGCCAGCCCGCCCTCCGAAAATCAGCGTTCCCCAAGGATCTTTGCTAGCCTGCCTCATCAGAATTTTCAAAAAACCTCCCTGCGTAAAACCAGTGTCCTCAAAGATCTCTGCAAGCCCCCTTCGCTAGCGAACGGCAGCGAACAGCCCGGATACTCCAACTACAAGGGTTTCCCCGTTCCGTTTTCAATGATGACGCAGATACACTCGATCAGACCCTGGGATTTTCCAGATATATTTTAAGGCGCGGGCTACCCCCCACGCACTGTCCATCCCCGACCCCCATCCCTTCCGCAGCTCTCAACGTGGGCCCCATGGGGGGCCCTCAAGGTGTCATGTGAAAGAAGTGGCGGCAAACAGACATAGCCCCTAGCTTTCTCCACCCTTTACTACCACAAGGCCTGATCAGCTGGCAGAACCCCCCTTTCTCACAGCTGCTGCAAGAACGCCTAGATTTTAGGGTGAAAGTAAAGTTGGAAAGCGGATAAACTGGGAGAGCCAAAAATACCGACATCCGAAATCGTGACAGGCAAAATATCGACATCCATAATACTGAAACCGAAAATATCGACAACCAAAATATCGACATTCATAATCCCGACAGCCGAAATCTCGAAAACCAAAATGCCGACAGCTAGAATCCCGACAGCCGAAATGCCGACAGCCAAAATATCGACAGCCAAAATGCCAACAGGCCAAAATCCCCATGGTTAAAATTTTAATAACCCTAATCCCGAGAACCGAAATCCCGAAAAGCCAAATGCCGACATCGAAAATCCCGACATACAAAATAGCAAATTAAAGGAGGTGGAAGCGTTCAGTGCTCGCGTAAAAAAATATGTCGGCATTTTGGTTGTCGGGTTTTGGGATCGTGAATTTGGTCAGGCAAACTAGCAGTTTTCCTTGAGGATTTCAGAGATCTCTAAAAATCCATATGCCACTCTGTTTTTTCCCAGCAAGCGCGAATAGCTTGAACGCAGCTGTATACCCAGACAGCTGAACAAAAAGTGACTAGAGAACCCCCGCGGAAAGTTTGACGAAACCCCGAGAGAGAGAGAGAGAAAGAGAGAGCTACAGAGCAAAGCCTAGAGATCAGGGCACTGTTCGAGAAAATCAGAGAAAACCAGGGGGCTCCCCTGAACCTCGTGGAATGCTGGAGGACCGCCCACATCTGGGCCCTCGGGTTCTGGGCCCTGGGCCCGCCATTCCTTGGATTTCCGGATTTCAGCCCCTCTCCTCTCACCCCCTTTTGCGAAATGGCCGATCAACCCGTCGCTGGTGAGCCGTTTTTGAGAGGTTGCAACGACTTACTGTTAGAACGAAGCCTAAACCTCAGCTTACTTTCAGAGCCAGCGCCCGCTGAGGCTCCAGCAGCCGAAGCCGCTCCGGCCGAAGCCCCTGCTGCCGAAGCTGTCCCATCTGAGCCTACCGCCGCCCCTGAAGCTGCCCCCGCAGAAGCCGCCCCAGCCGATGCTGCACCTGCCGAAGCCCCAGCTGCCGAAGCCGCCCCCGCCGGTAAGTGATTGTGGTAGACGATCAACGACACCAAACCGTGCTCAAGAGCTAAGCACTGTTCAGAAGAAGCCGCCCCAGCTGCCGAAGCCGCACCAGCAGAAGCCGCCCCTGCCGAAACCGCCCCTGCTGAAGCCGCCCCTGCTGAAGCCTCCCCAACTGAAGACGCCCCAGCCGGTAGGTGCTTGTGGTGGACGATCAATGTTAGCAGATCTTCTCAAAATTATGCGAGTTATTTAGAAGCCGCTCCAGCTGAAGCCGCCCCTGCCGAGGCTGCCTCTGTTGTCGAAGAGGTCCCCGTCCAAGTTGAAGAAGCCCCGACGACTGAAGCTTCGCCAGGTTTGGCTTGAGCGTAGCTCTAAAATTAAATTTTAGAAGCTGCTGCTGATGCTCCTGCCGCTGAGGCCGCTCCCGCTGAAGCTGCTCCAGCTGCCGAGGCATCCGCCCCTGCCGCTGAAGCTGAAGCCCCGGTAGTTGAGGAGATCCCCGTCAAGGTCGAGTCGGCCCCAGTGACCGAGGGCGCACCAGGTAGGGAGGAGGACATCTTCTGGAAGGTCAATAAATTCAGCGGCCGTCCCTGCTGAAGCCGCACCGACGGAGGCCGCCCCTGCCGAAGAAGCCGCTGCCGCTGAAGCTGCTCCATCTGAGGCTCCCGCTGCCGAGGATACCCCTGCCGAATCCGCTCCGGCAGCCGAGGCATCTGAACCCGCAGCTGGTAAGTTTTGGTTCTAGACAATTAGGTCTCTCTCACTCTCTCCCCCCTCTCTCGCTCTCTCGCTCACTATCTCTGAATTTATCACCTTTCAGAAGCCCCAGCCGCCGCCGTCGAAGAGGTGCCCGTCCAGGTTGAATCTGCACCAGTCACGGAGGGAGCGCCAGAATCGACCCCAGCTGAAGCTGCCCCTGCTGAAGCCGCACCCGCTGCCGAAGCTGCCCCAGCTGAAACCGCCCCTGCGGCCGAAGCTGCCCCCGCCGAAGCCGCCCCTGCCGCTGACGTTGCCCCAGCAGAAGCCGCTCAATCCGAAGCCCCTGCCGCTGACGCTGCCCCAGCAGAAGCCGCCCCCGCTGCTGATGCCGCTCCGGCTGAGGCTGCTCAATCCGAAACCCCTGCTGCTGAAGCCGCGCCTGCTGAAGCTGCTCCCGCGGAAGCCCCAGCTGCTGAAGCCGCTCCGGCCGAAGCTGCTGCTTCTGACGAGTCTGCTCCCGCTGCCGACGCTGCTCCCACTGAAGCTGCTCCCACTGAAGCTGCTCCCGCTGAAGCTGCTCCCGCTGAAGCTGCTCCCGCCGAAGCTGCTCCCGCCGAAGTCGCAGCTCCGGAAGCCGCACCTGCAGCTGGTAAGCTAGGCTTTCCCACGTAATCACTACTAGCTTGTCTTAAAACTTTCGAGACTGCTTTGTAGATTCTAGATAAAATCCTTTTTCACTTTGACACGGATTTTTCGCTGCAATTTTATTCCTTTTTAGAAGCCGCCCCGGCCGAAGCCGCCCAAGCCTAAATCGCCGAGGATGAGATCCGTGAATTGCCTTCGACTTTTCCGTTCCTTTCATGTACACATCGATACCATTTACAGTCGTCACCCCCGTTGCGCCCCGCTCGGTTTCGCGATTTTGCATTTTTAACGGTGCTCTGCCCCCCATCCGCTTAATGCTCTGATCGCTTTGCTCTCGCTCTCGCACTCCCCGATTGCTTTTTCGTGTGCTCGCTACGCCCCGATTTTTTGGCTTTTTCTGATTCGCTGAATAAATTCTTTGCTTTGTATGGGGGTTGGCAAAAATATAGTTGAAAAAAAGATCTATTCTTTCAGAAACGGGTGCTTTTGCGCTATCGGGGGGAGTAACTTTTTTCTTGGAATCTATGTTTTGTAATATTAATAGAAGTAGTGTTTCTAAACGATTCCTCAAAAACTCTACACGCTTCTGTTTCTTTTACGAAAAATGTCGATTTTTCCACAAAAATGGAGTTTTGAAATTGGACAAAACTTGAAAGTATGAGTTTTCTATCGAAAGATCAAATATTTTTTTATAAAACTGTTAAAACCTTTACTATGGCGTTTCTAGGCATTGCTGGACTTATAGGAAACCCCCCAATAATGCAAAAGACCGAGAAGAAAAGTGCAAGGTTCTCTCTTACTGTCTCTCTCACCTTCTTTCTCCCACGCTCTCGCTCTCTCTCTTTCTCTCTCTCACTTTCTCTCTCTCTCTCCCGCGATCTCTATCTCTTTTTCGCTCTCTCACTCTTTCCCTCTCGTTCGCTCACTTTCTCCCACTCTCTCTCGCTCTCTCTCTCGTTCGCTCACTCTCTCCCACTCTCTCACTCTCTCTGTCTCTAGCCTTCTGTATCATTTTATGCAAATTCCAACAATACATCCATTTCTTCAATTGTTTATCAGCAATCTGTACACGTAAAAATTTGATAGCAAACAGAAGGAACAAAATTAGGTGCCTGCGTTTTCCAATGCCGCGGTAGAAAGAATAGAATATTCAAATTGAACACATCTCAAATTGAAAAAAGGGGGTCATGGCGGGGTCAAATTAGAAATTAGCATAAAATTGCATAGGCATCATCCCCATCAACTGTTATAGTTTGTGGCAGAGGGGTTAAAGCATCGGCGTGGAGTGTAAGGGGGATTTTTGCGGGCAATTCAAAGTTAAGTTATTAGGGTTAAATAGAGGCTAAAATTGATGACAAAAAAATAAGTGAAATGTGGTGGGGCAGACATAAATACGCAAAAAAAATTAAATTTAAATTTTTGAAAGTTAAATAGGCAGTTTCGCCTGAGAAAAGTGACAAATTTTGACATTTCAAGTTTAAATTTTAGCTTGATTTTTGTATTTTTAAGTCTAGAAAAATCGATTCAACCTTAAAAAATCGAAAAACTCGGATAAACAAGGTCAACTTAAATTTGCATATTTGAATAAAAAATGGAACAATCGAAAATTGAATAAAATCACAGAGGCGAGTATCGGCTGGTTGTCTCGGCGCGCGCGGGGGATATATAGGGTTTTTTCTCTAGCGTTCCAAAGTCTCATCAGTTCCATAGGACACTTATTGCCAAATTTTTGTACAAAAAAAAATAGAAAATTAGCATAACATAAATAATAAGATTAATTCACGAAAATATGGCATCGATGCGTGCGAGAGGGTGGGACGGGGAACTGAGTTTTCGGGGAGCTTTTGAGGAGTGGCTATTAGTGCGTGTTGCGCCTGGGGCACGTTATGGCGGGAATGGAATTTTAACTTGAGGAGGAATTTGCAAAGTTGAAGCTTGTAGGCAAAGCCAAGCCTAAGCCAAGCCTAAGCCATACCTAAGCCAAGCCCAAGCCAAGCCTAAGCCCATCCTAAGTCAAGCCTAAGCCAAGCCTAAGCCAAGCCTAAGCCAAGCCTAAACATATGCTTAAGCCAAGCCTAAGCCAAGCCTAAGATACAATAACCATTAATGCGTGGGTAGTCGATGGCGGGCGATGCGTAGCCGTACAGTTGGGTGCTGCTTGATGAGGTTGATGGCTTCTTCATGGGAGAGACCACGTGTATCGGTGCCGTTGATCTCCACCAAGTGGTCGCCGACACGAAGACGTCCATCCGCAGCTGCCGCGCCGTCCTGCAAAAGAGGAATTCAACGAGATCAAGTAGTTCATGAGCCGGTGAAGAAAAATCCATAGGTTTGGAACTGCCCCAGCTACTTAAAAGTTTGCCAACAAAATCCATAGCCATGCCTTTCCAGTCCCTTTAAAAGGCTACTGTAGCCCCTCACTCACCTCAGCGATCCGCAGCACGAAAAAGCGGCATCTTGCCAAACTCGTGGCCTCCTCGAATCGAAAAGCCGAAGCCCCGCGTCCCTCGTTCCAGCTCCACCATCAGGTCGTCCTCCTGAAAAGTGATGCTCATCCCTTGAAAACAATCACTTCGGTCCCGCCACGATCCCCAGGGTATACGGTAGCGTGTTAGGGCAGCTTGGTGTAAAAGGGGAGAGAGGGCAGACAGGCAGAGGAAATGGGGGAAGAATGGAAGTGGCGACACACATTCACGAATGTTTATTTGGCGCTAGCCATTTTAAATTTTGATAATTTTTAACATGTCTAAGATAAATTGCACGTTTAAGCTTTGACGAATTTATGATACGTTTTTTTTAATCTTTAACATGTTTGGGATGACAGGATTTTGCCGGGTAAAAGGTCGGTGAAGACAAAAAAAACATAGATTTTCTGCCTTCAACGGCCCTTTAAAGCAAAATTCTGCTTCGCCGAATATCCGTCAAGTTCAAGGCGTACAGGCTGGGGAATTCCATCACCGGTCAGGGGTCCCAAAACGAGAGTGCGGGTTACGGTAGGCCGTGGAAATGACTTGCAAATCTTAATTTAGAACTTGAAAGCGTTAGCCCATGACTAAACCCCAAGCCAAGCCTAAGCTAAGCCCAAGCTAAGCCTAAGCTAAGCCTAAGCTAAGCCTAAGCTAAGCCTAAGCTAATCGTAAGCCAAGCCTAAGCTAAGCCTAAGCTAATCGTAAGCCAAGCCTAAGCCTAAGCCTACGCTAAGCCCAAGCCAACGTTAAGCATAAGCCTACGCATACAACAGCTATTACAAGCAGCTAAAGGGTAGTGGGGATGGCCAGCGAGCCGTGGTGGGGAGTCGAGGGGGGTAGCTGCATTCGCGTTCGCGCACTAATGGCCGTACCCCCTTGGCTGGGGCGGCGGAGGCGTAGATGGTTCCGACACGGCGATCCCCAAGAATTCTCGACTCTCCTCGTACTCGTCCAGCACGCTCGCCTGCGCCAGCGCCCGCAGCAGCGACTCGCAGCTGTCCTTGAGTCGGGGTAATTTTTCGAATTTGATTTTTAGAGGACGGTAGATTTCGAGGAGTACGGTAGAAATTCCACAAGAGGGAGATCACAATGGGAAAAGGCGCTAAAAACTGTGATAAAAAATTTTTTTGACTGCACAGAGGCAAGATAGCAGTGTTTCTTGAGGATAATTAAAGGTAATTTTTAGGAATTAAGAATGCTTGAAAACCCTCAAAAATGACAATTATAGAATTACAGTAAGCGATGGCCATTCCTAGCTGCGGGACGAACCAAAAAAAAAGGGACGAGGACGGTGCTGAGGAATTGGGGGGAGAATTTCCGGGCGCTTACTACGCACGATATTGTATCGTTTTTATCCCGACGAAAAATGGTAAAACCAAAATGCAGACAAGCTATTTTTTTATTTATGGAAAAACCATGTTATCCTTCACAATATCAATGTTTAAACTATCGAAAAGGCCCTAAATAGGTTTAAAACGCTAAAAAATATCAAAACAAGTTTTGAAATCTGAAAAAGTCGAAATTCTATTTTTTAGGTATCTAGAGTTGAATTATAACATCTCCAAAATAATTTAAAAGGCTCCTAAGAAGAATAAGGGCCCGAAAAGCAGATATTAGAATTTGCAGATGTCCAAAATTGCCTTGCTAAGCGTAAAAACTGGAAATCACTATTTTGTTCATTTCCGTTTATCATTTTCGCCTTAATTTTTTGCTTTAAAAGGGTTTTCACGAAACTGGATACTTCGCGCTTAGTATCGACCCGGAAATCGCCTCAACCTAAATATTGGTGTGGGAGGTGTGTGGAGGCGAACGACGACGGTGATGTACAAAGGACAAGGGCGGAATTTTCAGCGAAAAAAAGTTGCAAAATTAATGATACCTGGTGGCCGGGAGGGGCAGCGTCGTATGGTGAATACCCATTACTGCGCATGGCGGAGTGGATTGGAGGGGGAAGGGTTGAGTGTGATGGTGTCTAAAAATAAAATTAGCATAAAAATGATTTTAAAGGGAGCTAAAAGGTAAATTTAATATTTATCTCAAGCGCCAAATTTGCATAATTCAAAATAAAGGAACTGGGAAGGCAAAAGGCAAGGTAAAATACAGAAATTCAAAAACACGACCCACCTGTTGTACAGTGCTATAGCCACCGTATACGGGGGTGGGGTGTGAGTAGCTGGGGGCATAGGTGGGTCCCGCGGCGCCTTTCGGCATCGCCGGGCCCGTGTCTTGGCATACGGTAAGGCGGACGGTTAGGCCGGCGTTCTGAAGTGGTATATTGGCTTTTAAAATTATCTCTCTCGCTCTCTCTCTCTCTCTCTCTCTCGCTCTCGCTCTCTTCCTCTCTCTCTCCCCTCTCTACCTCCGCATAAAGTGCCCTCACCTTGATCAAATTGACGATATCCGCATGCGGCAGCCCAGCAATGTCATTCCCATTAACTCGCAGCACCCGATCGCCCACCCGTAGACGACCACAGCGCGCTGCCGGCGAACCGGGGATCAGCTCGCCAATGTTGGAGGCTCTTCGCACCATATTTGACAGGATTACAAAGCCGAAGCCCTCGGTTTCTTGTCTAAATCACAGAGGTTTTGGGGTTTCTGACTAATGGCTACCGCTCGAGGACTACGTCGTACTCCTGGGCAACATTTCCGGCATGTGGGCTCATGGAAGGAGGAAGTGAGGCGGAGCGGGCGCTGTCGATGCCTGGAAGAATATAATTTAAGCGTATCAAAGGTAAGTAAGGGAAAAAGAGAGCGAGAGAGCGAGAGAGCGGGAGAGAAAGCGGCTGACAGCGAGTTCGGGAGACTGACTAACTAACCATTCATCTGATGTCTCCTGACCAGCAGCTTAACGTGCTGCTGCCGGGCGGCCTTTTCGAGCAGTCCAACCGCGTCTCCATGAGCCGCTCCCTCCACGCTGACGCCGTCGATTTCCATAATCTCATCCCCTAGAAGGTAGAAGCTAGTCATTGTAAGAGAGAGAGAGGGAGAGAGAGAGAGTGAGTGAGAAAGATAGATACCTTCTTTCAGCCGTCCATCATCAGCTGCAGCTCCACCAGGGACAATCTGGCCAACCGTCAGCTGCGTGCCGGTCTGGAAATTCGACCGTATTTAAATTTCGACAAATTTTTACAATAAGATTTAAATAAGTATTTCTGACCTCATTCCCACCCAACAATCGGAAGCCGAAGCCTTGTGGTTTCCGAATAAGGTTGACGGTCATGTGGTTGAAAGGCTGGTCCATCTAAAAATGACACTTTTGAAGCTAGAATTCAGTTTTAAATTGTCTAAAAAATTATTAGGTTTTTAACTTAAGGGGGAATTTTATAATTGATTCTGAAAGGTCGAAAGCCATTAAATAAAGTCATTTTGGTTTCATTGAAGGCAAAATTTAAAAGTTAAAACTTGATTCTGAGCGAAAATGCGTAAAATTAAAAATTTAGAAATTTTAAGCGTTTTCAAAACGTTGTAAATTCAAGGTAGACAGGTAAGGAAAGACAAACATAAAAGTTTAAACTCTGGGAACGGGAAAGATAAAAACTGAAAGACAGGGCGGTCAACGTCAAAATTAGCATGAGAAAATGGGCGTGTTGGGGTCGGGCAGACCTGGAGGGCGGCGAGCGGCATGTAGTTGGGCGTCGTGGAGAAGCCGTGAAGGGAAGCCGAGCCGCGCATCGAGCCGTATCCCCCCCATCCGGGTGTACGGTAGCGGAGGGTGGGTGCTGCAAAAAGCCGGCCCGTCACAAAACACTCCGCGCAAAAAGTCAAGGCTTCGTTTTTTTACTGGATAAGCGGCAATAGCTACAAAAAATTGGCTTGATGATCTACTGAATTTGCAAGGAGTTGTGAGTGTTTAAAGCTAGGATTAGGTTAAGCTACCTAAGTCCAAATCAAAGCCTAGGCCGAAGCCTAAGCCTAAGTCTAAGCCTAAGCCCAAACCTAAGCCTAAGCCTAAGCCTAAACCTAAGCCTAACAAGGAGACGTTTTTGAGTGTCGTCGAGACTTTGGCACGGGACCAAGCCTATCTTGTGCAGAATTTTACGCTGATTCCGAAATGTTAGCCGTTTTTGCGGAATAGCCATTTCTCGAACGTTATGAACAATTTAAACCTCAAAACAGCCCAAAATCGGCGACTTTCAATAGTCATAAAAGGCTTCGGAATAGGTTTTTTAGACAAAACTTGATAGTGCATCTTGTTCAGAAAAAAATTCTCTATAAAATAAGCTACTTAACTCAAAAATTCTGGAATTTTGAAAATTTTTGTAAAATTAATGGACCTCCCAATTTATCCAGTTTTTTCAAACTTTTCAATGATTTTGGAAAAGATGGTACATTTTATAGAGAATTTTTTTCTGAACAAGATTTACTATCTGGTTTTGTCTAAAACCTATTCCGAAGCCTTTTATGACTATTGAAAGTAGCCGATTTTGGGCTGTTTTGAAGTTTAAATCGTTCATAACTTTCGAGAAATGGCTATTCCGCAAAACAGGTTACCATATTCCAGAATCAGCGTAAAACTCTGCACAAGATAGGCTTGGTCCCGTGCCAAAGTCCCGACGACACTCAAAAACGTCTCCTTGTAAGCATAACGTAACCTAAGTCTAAATGTAAGCCTAAACCAACTAGTAAGTACGTCTACTA